TGAAGCCAGAGCATGTGCAGTAACTGCCACACACTATGTTTCTAGGAAGCATGGCATTCCCCCAGAATACAAGGTGGACTAGGGATGTAAAAATGCATTTATTAAAGTAAATGTGTAACATAAAAACCCATCAAAACATTACCTTAATTTGTCAGAGTCTTCAGAAACTTCATTATATTGCTCTTCTTGGATTAAATCTCTGTTCACTTCCCCTTCACATGATTGTAGATGGTCTTGCTGTGGAACTTCTTGGTTTGAACAACTGTTGGTCCTACTCCTCTCTTTTAACATGGTTTTCTGTTCATAATTTGCTAATGCTGGGTTAGTCCTTCTCCAGCAGCCATCCCTATTGGTCCAAATGTTCCCCATTTTCTAGAAAGAAACATATTTCAATGGCATTAGAATTATTAAAGTCAACATTTTCTAAGATTTCAATTATTTTCTTGAGATGTCGTCTTTATTGCCATTCTGTCACCACCAACATTTTAACAGTAACACACATATGGGAATATAGGCTAAGTTGTTGGCAGTTGTCCAAAATGGAGTACTTAGAACCTCCTTAAGTGGAGCTTAACTGCAGGAGGATACAAGGTAGGTAATTCTTAACCGTAAATGAGAAATGGAACTGTAAATGAGAAATAGTGTATGTGAACTAGTAATACTTCTATATCATCACTGATGGAATCTCCTACAGGGGTGGGCAATAAGCTGCTGGAGCTTTATTTACCCGTGTGTCCGCAGCTACAGCCCCTTACAGTTCTCACTGGCCACAGACCGTCGTTCCCAGCCAGTGGGAGCTGCAGGAAGTGGCACAGACCACGACACCACTTCCTGCAGCTCCCGTTGGCTGTGAACAGTGATACGTGACCAATGGGAACTATGAGCGTCTGTACGTGCAGCCATGCAGGGAAATAAAGTGCCACCAGCCTTCTGGGATTGACTATGGCGAACTGCATCCAGCCTGCAGACCACTTATTACCCTTCCCCCCAATTTACTATATTGAAGCCTGGAGAGATTCGATTTGCAAATGTTGTGCTCATTTTTTATGAAAGTATCTCAACATGGCACACTGGCCCTCACAATGCACTGACTGAGGTGAGTGTACTCAGGTTCTTCTTTCAACTGTTCTGAAATGTAAGTAAATCTAATGCTGCTGTGATGGGTGGGATCACAGAGTTCCCCTTGAGACAGTCTCATTCAACGTGCTGCTCATACCACTGAGTCCACCTACCTGCCTCCAGGCACTCTGCCACCCTCCTGATGGGCCAGATTTTCTGGGCTCCCCCAAGGAAAGGCACAGAATTGGGGTAACAGCATCCCCATCTTAGTAACACAGATGCTGATAACAGCTCAGCTCTGGGAGGGCTTAGCTACAGGGACTTGTCAGCACCCAGGAACACAGCCCCAAATAGGACCAAACCCCTGAATAAATCCATCTTACATCTATATTTTACACTGAGAAAGTTAATAGAGTTTGCTCTCTTTATCAGTGAAAGAGAGATGCACAGCTGTTGATCTCCCTCACCCCTGATGATAATAATTTACATTTGCTTTGATAATAAACAACCGTTTTTTGGGTTTTTTTAAGTATAAAAAAGTAGGATTTAAGTGATTCCAAGTGAAAACAGTCCAACCAAGGTAAGTTACTAAGCAAAAATAAAACACGTCGGCTAACCCTAATACACTAAGGCTACATCTACACTATGAGTTTTCTTGGCAAAAAATATGCTAACGAGGGACTCATTTGCAGGCGTCACGATCTCATTTTCATATTTTCTGCTGATCCGTTTTTGCACAAAACAAGCAGTGTGGACGTTTTCTTTTTGCGCAAAAACCCCTTTTTCTGCAAGATCAATAAACCTTCTTTTTGGGGGCAAAACAGGATTCTTCACTCCAGTCCAGGGGCAGGCATGATCCAGTCTTCCACGCATTTCTTAATCTGGCCACAGTCTACCCCACCAGGATGCTCAGGCAGGGAGCAGCCCCCAAGCCGCTCAAAGATAGGCTGCTCCATTGTGCCTATCTGCGCCATGCGCCAGGGAGGGATGGAGAGGAGGCTTTGCACACTGTCCCCTCCCCAGCACAATCTCTCAGCTCCCATTGGCTGGTTTCTGGCCAGTGGGAGCTAAGAGATTGTGCTGGGGATGGGTGCAGCATGCAAAGCCTTACCTCTACCCCAGGCATGCAACACAGAGAGGCACATGTAGCAGCCAGCAGCTTTGAGCGGCCTGGGGCTGTAGCAGGCAGGGAGCCTTCCTGAGAGTCCAGTATGGCTGCTAGCCAAGATCTCCTCAGATAAGCAGCTCCTGGCCAGAGCCTGCTTCTAGCACCTCACTCCCTTATACAACCCAACTCCAGGTCATCACCCGCTTCTCACTCAGGTTACCATCCAAACCCTCTGCACCACCACTCTCCCTGCCCCAAGTCACAATCTCTCCCACACCCTGCACCCCGCCCCCAGGACAGAATCTTCTCCTGCACCCATACCACCTCCCTGACCTTGCACCTCAATCCTCTACCCCAGATCACAACCCCCTCCTTAACCCAAACTCCCTCTCAGATCCCACACCTCTCTCTCCTGTAACCCAGTCCTCTACCCCGAGCCCCCTTCTGTACCCAACCTCCGTCCGAGACCCATATCACCTCCATAGAAAAGTGCAGCCCTTGACCACTTACCAAAATCTTGGGGTGGCCCCCCCTTAAAAAATTATTGCCCACCTGTGCCTTAAGCCTTATTTCAGCTAAAATTCTTCTAATCACAGTTGATCTTTTCCTCTGACCTGGGCACAGCAATGCTCGTCCACCCTTTTCATTACAAGTTCTTTTTTCCAGGTGTTCTCGTGTATCCTCTTAGGGCAGGGAGGCAGTTTCAAAAGCCAGCTGAAGACCATCCTTATTTGCTCCCCCTCTCTTAAATAGAATTTCCCGAGTGTGGGACTCCTTTGTTCAATTTTCCCCATTCGGAAAAATACCGAATTCAAGATGGATTCCAGCACCAGGTAGCATGGTCACATGTCTTTGTAGGACCAACCACAGTTTGGGCTTACAAGAAAAAACAACAATTTACAGCTCATTGTCTTGAGCACCAGGCAATTAAGTTATTTAAGTACCACTAATGACTTTCGCTAGAAGATGCAGAATTAATAAAAGAGGTTTCCAATTAATACTTATAACTTCTCATATTAGAATGACACATGCACACAAATAGAATATGCACATTCAGGGGATCACAGGCTCTTGAATGACAGGTTACTTGCCCTATTTTGCCTAAAATGTATTTGAGTTATACATTTAGGTTATGTCTATACTGGTGTGATCTTGTGCAAAAACTCTTGAGAGCAAGAGTTCTTGCGTTAAAATAGTTGCGCAAGAGAGCATCTACAATGGCATGCTCGTGTAGACGCTCTCTTGTGCAAGAAAGCTCTGATGGCCATTTTAACCATAAGGTTTTCTTGCGCAAGAAATTCATGTTGCCTGTCTACACTGGCCTCTTCTGGAAGAGCTTTTGCACAAGAGAGCTTATTCCTAAGCGGGAGCGTCTGAGTTCTGGCACAAGAAGCCCTGATTTTATACATTAGAATGTCAGTTTACTTGTGCAAGAACACGCAGCCAGTATAGACAGGCAGCAAGTCTTTTGCGCAAGAGCGGCCGCTTTCGCGCGAGATTGCGCCAGTGCAGACACAGCCATTCATAAGCAAAACCTATTTCTATAAAAATATGGGGGCAACGTATCACAGCTGACTTAGGGTATGTCTACACGGCAGTGTTATTTGAGAATAACTGAAATTATTCTGAAATAACATAACTCGGACTTCCTGCTGTGTAGACAGTGCCAAAAGCTGAAATAAGCTCAAGCCAAAAATTGATGTAGCTCAAGTTGTATAGCTTATTTTGGCTTTCGCCCTGCTGTGTAAATTTGCCCTTAGTGATTACTTTAGACTGCCATTTGCTGTGGTTGTGAACATACCACATACACAATGTGTTCTGTAATCTTTTTCACTTGCTAGTTATCTCATTAAGTAGCACATTAAAGAGCTGAATAATTGCCACATGATAATTCAGTGTTTATTATTGGTCACAAATCACTAGTAGAACAATATTCTTGTATAAATCACCATGTCTTCAATAACTGAATAATAACCCAAATATATTAGTTCATTGACCCTTAAAGCAGAATGAATGAATGTCAGAAACACTCCTAACTAAACTTGCTTGCTCACTGACTTGCTTACTCATAGGCAAACTCAAATATATAGTAGATTAAGCAGATTATTTGCCAAACTAATGTTATGTAAGATCAATAATTGCAAAAAATGGGTTCCATTATGCTATTCACACATGGTACATTTCAAACATGTTTAGACTGTATCCAAGGGCAGAATTTGAGGAGCGTGGAGGGCAGCAGCCATGCGCTCTGGGATGTAGCCTACTTTTCATCAAATTCCCGGGACTATCAGGGAGTGAGGGGAAAGCGCTTGCATTCCGTGCATTCCTCTCACACCTGGCTGGTGAAGGGAACTCACTGTTCATGATGAAAAGCAAGCCGCATTCTGGAGCACACAGCTACTGCCCCCTACCCTCCTTAAATTCCACCTTTGACTGTATCTATTTCACATTTGAAACATTTCCTCTCTAGCGTGGGATCTCATCAGATTTCAAACTAAGTAAAGGTGGGTCTAGGAACGCCAGCTATATTCAGAAAATGCTAGTAGTTATTCCATAGGTCAGTAGTCCCCAACCTTTTGGGGCTGTGTACGCGCCCGGGGGCAGATCATCATATAGTTTGCAATAGTACTTTTCATCATTCTTACCTTTTCACAGAAAAAAAATGTCACATTCCAGTGGGACAGGAGATAAGGAATCAGGTTAGCCTGCCACTGAAACACAACCTTAAAGTTCAAATGCGGTAGTTGTTGAAGAGCACCAAGCAATGTTAAATAATAATTTAGGACAGAAGGAGGAAAGAATACTATGCTGCATTGGGAATTTTAGATGGAAAGAATGGCCATTTGGACCCCTTGCTTCTGCCCCTGCTGCCCTCACCAACCAGTCAAGGATGCCTCCCATTGATGCAATCACCCATATGCTTTAATAGAAGATTTACCCAGTATTGCCTGGGGATGAAGTCAGGGCCAGCCCAGGGTAAAGGGGGGCCATGCAGGCCACCCACGAACTTCTCCCTGAGGCTGGCCTGGGTGGCTGCTGTGGGGAGGAGGGCACAGGGCACGTGGCTGCTTGACCCCAATGCCAGCACAGGCAGTCATGCAGGCTACCTGATGGGTTGTCCTCAGGGCTGGGTGGTGGTGGGGACAAAGGCCTCCCGATGACTTGTCCCTGGTGCTGACCTGGGCAGCAGAGGGCCATGCAGGCTGCCCAGCGGCTTGTCTCAGGGGCCGAGTCAGGTGAGGGGAGCCAAACAGGGTACCCGGTGGCTTGTCCGCAGCAATGGCCCAGGCAGGGAGGGGAAAGCCACACAGGCCACCTGGAGACTTGTCCCCAGCCCAGGAGTAGTGGGGTGGAGTGGGGGACGTGCAGCGCAGTCACCCGGGGGCAGCAGGGACTGTGTGGAAGCCAGCAGCTGCTTCCTGGGATCAGTGCCATGCTGGCCACCCAGCACTTCTCGCCAGGGCCAGGCTGGGTGGCAAGAGCCATGCTGTCAGCAAGCATCTGTTCTGCGAGGGTAGGGTGCTTGGTGAGTATACCTGTCCCGTGCTTCATGAATATACCTGTCCCTGTGCTTGCTGCTCCCCTGTGGCCATTCATGAGTGTAACTGTCCCTGCAATCTCACACCCTTCCCTCCCTTTTCATTTGATGCAAAACAATCACATTGCATGCTAGGAATGTTAAGAAGTGGTGATTTGTTAATCATGTAGTCTACAGAGTTTTTAATCGACTACATGATTAGCCGATAAGGGAAGGCAGTGAAAGCACTCGGTTTTGGCTCTACTAACTATTTTATTGTTCACTATCTTCTAGTAAAAGCACAAAGCATTGTCTTCACTAACAAAAGCACATGCCACAATACACATTTAAAAAAAAGGAAAGAAAAGAAAAGAAAAGAAAAGCCACACACAATTAGGAGAAGGAAGAGAGAAAGAAGAAATCAATGATGTGAGAACTGAAATAAATACTGTGGTAACATATTTTTGCCTAAGTGGTCACAACTGCTTAAATCTTTTTTTTCTAGCTAAGTGGTAAAGCTGTAGGGAAGCATGATGCTTCATTGACTGTCTCAACTCAAGCTTTGTAGGGCGCCCAGATAAACATGGTGATGAGTGCCATACAATTGAAATAATATTTCAATATCATATTTGCTATTTATGCAAAATAGCAATCTTTCCACCTGAAAGAGACTGATTTTTTTAAATATTACATACCCACAGTGCTGCTGACATGAAACCAGCTGATAGATGAAAGGCAGCAGCCAGGACTAGATGTTTGTTGTGGGGAGACCTCAATTTTGGCCAATGACACAAGCCATTTCTCCTCTGAAAAATTCCATGGAAGCTTGAATATAAATGCAGAGTAGACAGCAAGTTGGATGACAGTTGCAATGTCTCATATGATTTTAGAAAAAGTTAATGTATTTATATTACAAGTAGTTTTATGAAAGTAGAGGGATTGGCTCAAACACTCATCAAATGGCAAAAGTACAATTTTAAAGTTTAAGACATTAACACGTGCAGTGCTGAACAATGCAAAATTCAGCAGAATACTATGGCTAAATTTTGTGACCCTGATATGCTCTCATAAGCCAAATAAGACCATAGTAACTTTGGTGAGTCAGCATCCTGCACTTGTTAATTTCTGCTTAGATGAGACACAGGCCTGAGCTTTCACTTAAAATGATACCAGCAAAGAAACTAGTAGTTCTAATTATTTAAATTTAGTTTATGTAATCCATTTTATGGCTTGCCTCATTAAAATGGCTCCTGTATACTACTTAAAAGTTGCTCTAAAGTCTTGTGGAGCACAGTTTGAAACTCCAGGAGTGACTAATTCTGCTTATGACTTCTGGGGAATGCCGTTGACTGAAAATAGATGGGAAATACCCCCTAACTGATATAAAGTGTGCAATGTAAGATACACTACACGTTGTGATTCATACACTTTTTTTCCTTTTTATTTTTCAATCTGATATAATTTTGCAAATCTGTTTCCAGAAAGATTTGCCTTCCACTTTTCGTGCTAAAGATAAATAGTAATTTCTATACACGGTGACAATTTGCTATTTAATACTGTATCTGCTGATTTTTAAAAAAATACTTCACTGTTCAGTGTCAGCAAAAACCTGTTCTAGATGCTGTATAAAAGGCTAGTTGAAAAGATGTGCAATGCAAAAAGACTTTTAAAAAACCAATGTATTCTTATTGATATTTGAGTTGTACATTTCTATAGATCTATCTCACTGTGTCTTTTACATTCAGCTATTCCATAGTCCTAGAAGAAGACAGTGTGCACTCCAGTTGCAAGGTTACAATCAGAAAACATGATCCACACCAATATACAGTAAACTTCCGATAATCCGGCACCTTTAGGACCCAGCGGGTGCCGGATTATCAGATATGCCGGACTATCAGAAGGGGGGGCTATGAGGGGTCTGGAGTGGGGTGGGAGGGAATGCCACCCCAGGCCCCTCATAGCCCCCCCTTACGATAGTCCGGCTCTGCCCCAGGCATCCCTGATTCAGCTGCTGGTGGTCAGTTTCAGCAGCAGCTGAATCGGGGACGCCTGCAGCCGAGCAGCTGGAGTGGTGCCCAGGT